AGGTGCGGAAGAGCGATTCCAAGAAGCTTTCCTTCCAATGCTATCTCACTTTCTGCAGTTCCTGTCTCAGCCAGGATGGTAGCGGTTGTCCCAATTTATGTAGGAGTTTTGACAGTTCCACATTGTGATCTCTGTAGTAGCTTGACAGAAAAGCCCTGCACTGGTGGATATAATAAAAGTAGATATTTTTATTCAGAGAAATACTATATGGTGGTTGCTATTGATCCCAGGTTTTGCAGTTTTAACAGTATCAGAACTATGCCAGGCTTTCGCTTATGATGTATACTTTCTCCTATCCCATGTATTACACACAAAATCTATGTTTTCAGGAGCTGAATGGCAGAATCTTATATTACTAGGTGTACAATATTTCCAAAATGTACATCGCAGTCAGAGCAACTGATTAGATTCTGATCTCAGAGTGTCCTATGTAAGTGTATTGTTACTCTGAATTTATGCCAGTGTTAACTGAGAACAGAATATGATCCAAAAGTTTTTAGCTATTCATTACTGGATGTCTGTCACTTAGATATTTATATTTTTCAGACACATTTAGGACTGACAAGTACAATACAAACAAACAAACTCTTCCCAAATCCTGAATGTCTTTTCTCAGTGATCATATACTATTATAACTCCACTGACTTCCTGTTTTATAGCAACTAGAGAGGAGAAAAAAATGAGGTCCACATAGGACAATAGCACTTACTATTGACCAGATGTTGAAGTCTTAAATCAGGTATTACTCAGACTAAACTAAACAGGATTTCAGTTTGGTCATGACAGAATAAAAATAGAAGCTGTAAACTCTTGCTATGATTTTGTGCCCTCATAAGGGATCTAGATCTGGGTCTGAATGAAAATGACAGCATTGGGCCTAGAGAAGGTTACTTTATTTGAACATTTTTTTAAATGGATATTTTCAAAGGCAATGGAAATAAAAACTGAACAGTTTTAAAATGTAATTGTCCAGAGAATCCATGTAACTACTCACAGGCTAACTGCTGAAGAATGGAACGTGGAAAGGAACAGAGGGTCAGCACCACATGCACACATCTGTCCATGAATACTACAAAACATGCATGTGAATTAATTACAGGCGTGGTTCACGCCGGATGTGTCTGCACAAGACGCTAACTGCACAGTAGCCTAATAACACTGCACAGTAGCGCGTCACAGCTCAGATAGTGCTAATATGTTACTGAGCAGTATCATTAGGGTACTGCGCAGTAACTCTGGGGGCTGTGCATTTATTTAGTACTTAATTATACAAGTACTAAATTAAATGCACAGTAACCACCGTGCAGTAATGAATGTGTAGACATGCCCTCTGTTCAAGAACCAGGATTTTAAATGAGTTGTAATTTTTTTTGAGGGTTACTAGTTTTTACAGTATGAGGAAAACATTTAAAGGACAATTTCAAAACAAGCTAATTTGTAGATACCTTTGGCCTTTATGCTTTGCACTGGAAATAAGAGATTGAAAAATGATGATATACTTCACGCTATCAGGAAGGGTTTAGTTACAGGAAGAGTTAATACATGTAATCGCTTTTTCTTTCTTGTTAAAATTTTGTACATGCAATGTCTTTGTACGTATACTGGGAACTCCTGTAAGCCATTCAAATATTAAAATGCTTTAGAGGAACATGGTTTACCTCAGAGTCCATAGGAGGGTATTTTCTGCCTTTGCTCTTTCCAAGACACTTGGTTTTTCCTTCTTCCAGGAGTTGACACCAGAAACCTTTATGGGAATCAAACCTGAAATGCATATTTTGTACACTTTTAATCCAACAAATAAGTTCCCACTCTCTTTAAGAATGTATTTATTACTTTAGTAACTTGATATTTTGTGGTTACTTTCCTCCTGTTATTCACACACCCATTAACAATGGCTGGATTTTTTTTTCTTGAAGGAAAGATAAAAAGATAACAGGGTATTATTGTCACCTTTTTTAGGGTCTGTGCTTTTAGGGTACACATAACTTAAGTACAGGCCCCATAGTATCTAGGTTCAAATAGACCCCATTTCATTTTATTAGTTACTTACATAGTCCTATGAGCTAGATGTTACACAAACATATAAGAGGACACATCCGTCTCCTGAGACACTTATAATCTAAACAGACAAGATGGACATGAGTTGAGGAAAAGGAATACAATATAATAACTGATGATCATATCTGCAACCCCTGCTTGTTTTGAGTAGTACCTTATTTGATAAGTTGTTTTATAGAAAACTATGGAACTATTTACACAGTAAAGGGCTATTTACTCTGGGTATAGAAGGTAGAATTGGTCCCCAAATGATCAGGATGATGTTTGGCAGATGTCACAGTAACTCCAGAGTTGAATGCAGTCCTGTCTTTTAACATATTATGGGTGCAAAGAGTAGGGTAAGAGAAGAAAGGAGTAAAGTAATAGGAGCAAGGAAGAAGGGAATAGGATGGGGGATATGAAGTTGGAGTTGAGACAGGAGAGAAAATGAAAGCGGGGGTAGGGGGGGAGATGGGAGAGGAAGGAGCAAAAAAGGTAGCACAGAAGCAAGAGAAACTGACCCTAGCTGTGAAAAGGACTGGACAACCAGTCAACTGAAAGGATGAATGTCCAGAATATGAACCGGGGCATAGGGGGAGGGGAAATCAGGCCCAGACAGTACAATAGCACCTAACATCAAACTGAAGCAAACAAGCTGATTATAACATGACTTCTGTTCAGGGGATTGTAAGAGCAACATCCCTTACTGTTGCTGTGAAGAGACTCTCCCTTCCTGAGGGCTGGTACTATCACTGGGAGCCCTCTCCCCACCAAGCAGAAGCACTTTTAGCTTGGTGCCCTAGACTGGACACAGTGCCTCGGGTTTGACTGTGAGCCTCTCTCCTCGGCCACTGGTACTCTAGAGAAGTATCGTCACATTATTCCCAATTCACACATACTTTCTTAGGTAGTTGAGGTTAAAACCAATGCTTGTCCAACTATGGATTAAAGGTGATAATGATATTTTACACTGAGATCCCACAATGATGGATTACCAGAGACTTTGACTGTACAGTAATACGAACATTAAAATGCCTTTACCAGACTTGCAATATGTGGCTCCTACCTGGCTTCTATCAGTTAATGACAAAACTTCTGCTAATTTTTATGGGAATAGAAGGTCTGCTCTGCTCTTTCTAATGTAACACACACACTACAGATAGCACATGCTACAGATAATAACATTTACAAACTTTTGCACATTTGTATTATAAATGCTTGCTTATTTTGGTATGACTACTGTACACAGCCATCCATGGCATTATTCATCAAGCAAGAACTACATTCAGAGGTCTATATATAGACACAAGCTCACTGTGAGTTAGTGATCTGGATAGATGCTCTTTGCTTTTTGCATATCAAATCAACTGATCATAATAAATAGCATCTATCCAACTGTAGCAGGACATGATTAAACTGACTCTGTATTTAAGAGCATGTTGTAAGGCTCATATCAGGACCTCAATTAATGCCTGCAATTTCCCAGGATATATATGAGTAGGAGTTGAGCATGCTGACCAAGGGTATGGCTTTAGCCTATAAGCACAGAAGTAGGTAACTGCTTTGACTGTATAAGGCAAACTATATCCTATATGCAGTGACAGAAACCCATGGAGTTACACTTCTAGTGAGCAATTACAGTGCAACCCACATACTTTTAACTGTGCAACACCTCTGGGTTGCTGGGGTGTTATTCATTTTACAGGAAACATTTTGCAAAATTTCCATTTGACCACAAAACAATATAAAACCTGCTGTCAGCCAAAACAATTCTAAAATTCAGAGCTAAAGATTTGGCACCCTTAAATTTTTGTAACGGATTCAGTATCTTCAGTGTGCTGCAAAACAAGGCTTTGTGTAAGAAGTCAGAGTTGCAAGCATGTGAAATTGCCCCCATCTGGCCTGGGTTACTGAGTGGTCTAACTACCCCAAGGTGACTCCAATAGCCTGCATTGACATGAATGCCTGCTTATAAACAGCAGGTTACTCAACAGGACAGATGCCTCTCTGTCCAGCTTTGAATGCCTCGTTCATAGTTTCCCAGTTCCTACCTATGCTTCCTAGTTTCCCAGTCCTTGGGTTCTACCTGTTGTTCTTTGTGACCTAGGCCAACCTAACCTTTTCCTGACATGGGCTGCCCTTTGAGTTGACCTTCAGGTGCAAACCACAAGTTTCCAGCCCCTGGAGCAGGCAGCTGCCTACACTTACCCTCACCATTGATTCCCTAACTCCTCTGCAGCAAAGGTAGTACAGATGCAGCAGAGCAGCAGGCCCTGCTGCAGAGGGGAGCACTATGGAGGGAATGGGCGATGTGCAGTTTTGTACTACTGATTCCCCTGTATTGGCTCAGACCTTTATGGGCTAGATAGGCTGCCAACCCATCCCAGGTCCTGTGTTTTTTTCCTGGTTTCCTGTTGGGTTCTGCTGCTTGGCTTCCTGGCTTCATTCCCCTGACCTGTGGGTTTCTGATTCCCTGCTGTAGTTTGGATCTTTGTTTCCCTGACCTTGTCTGTCCTTGAACTCCTGAGCAGTGACCCTCTTGAGTCAGGCCCTGACTGCCTGTGTCCCAAGTTATACCCCTAACACCACAATGCCCCCCCCCCCCCCAACTACAGAAAGGACGTGGACAAATTGGAGAGAGTCCAGGAGAGGGCAACAAAAATGGAGAGGGGGTTGGGGCACGTGACTTCTGAGGAGAGGCTGAGGGAACTGGGCTTATTTAGTCTAGAGAAGAGAAGAGTGAGAGGGGATTTAATAGCAACCTACAACTACTTGAAGGGGAAATTCAAAAGAGGATGGAGCTAGACTGTTCTCAGTGGTGGCAGATGACAGAACAAGGAGCAATGGTCTCAAGTTGCAGCAAAGGAAGTTTAGGTTAAATATCAGGAAGAATTTTCTCACTAGGAGAGTAGTAAAACACAAGAACGGGTTACCCAGAGAGATTGCAGACTTTCCATCCCTGGCGGTTTTTAAGATCCAGCTAGACAAAGCATTGTCTGGGATGATCTAATTGGGAATGGTCCTGCTTGGAGCAGGGACCTCCTGAGGTCCCTTCCAACCCTAATTTTCTATGGTTCTATGAATGACCAGAGAGTTAGTCCAATGTAAATGGATGGATGGAAAGAATCTATTGTCAGTAGATGTGAAATTGCTCTAGGGTGGCTTCACCTGTTAGTGAAATACTGAGAATTGCTAATTGCTGAGCGTTAGTTCTAAGTGCACTTATATTTCAGTCAAAAGTGCAATAGTTCTGCACATTTTAATGCTTTAACTCAACTGGCACAACAGTATCAATTCCCCAGTATGTGAATACTTAGGAAAGCTGCAAGAAAGAAATCTTATTTATATATCTCCGGTACATTTATTCAGAATTTAAATTGTTTAATTTAATTTAAACAGAAATAAAAAAATCCCCCTCTGCCAATAGAATTTCCCTATTATTTTTAGAATAATTGCTGGCCAATATTATTTAACCAGCAATCTAAATGGAAGCACAGTTTTTATGATGCTGCATGCCAAGTTTTACTTAGCTGACTGTGGGGGAAAAAACACTGTATCAGCTAGTAAAAGGATGATGTAGGGATATATTGTAAAACTTCATATGCTTTCTCTGTTTATATTAAAACAACATGCCTTGTAACCAACGTTTATTGACAAGTTTCATACTGAATTAATTAAAATCTGTCTTTGTAAAAAAAGACTTTGTGAGATGCACTTCATCCATAAGCAAATGTTCTGAAACAACAGACTTCACATTATAATAGTTTAAATTCACAGCAAACCATACTATAAAGCTGATATAATCAAAGTCTACAGTCTATTAAAATTGCAGTACAATTTACACTTGCTTTATCAAAACACCAACATTGTAATCGCACTATTTTAAAGGCAATGTATCAGTCTCAAATTAGGGCTATAAAATATTGTTGATTCTAACGGGCAAAGGGGGGGACTGCCAACTGGCACTTGTTGGCAATCTTCTGATGTTGTCATGGCCTGAAAAACCATAGGCAAACCTTCATTCTCACATTTTATACAATGCCAATCACTATAATATTTGAGTCTGCAATTCCTTCCTTAAAATTCACTTTTCACTGCTTAAATTCTTATCCTCTGTGCCTGAGCACAACAATTTATTTTGAAGCTTAATTGCAAGTTGTAAAATACATTGAGTTCATTGGATAAAGAACCTGTAAGGGCAAAAGATGTTTTATGCTGCTTTCACCTAAAAATTCACAATACTTTAGATAGCTCTTTTTACTACTTATATCTGTTACCAAAAGACATACATGGCCAAATTCATTACTGATGTTACAACACTGCTTTAAATTTAAGGGATGAATTGTTCCAGAGTCTCTTTAATGGAACAAGTTGCTTTAATCTCAGTTACCCTCAGTGAACATTATCAGTGTTCAAGGGCAAACATGAAGGAAATGGATGTCACAGAATTAGATGCAGATGGGAATAATTCAGAGCACTGAGGTCAAGGGCTTTGGTGTAAAAAGAGAATGAACTTTCAATAGAGCTACTCCAGGGATAAATTTGGCCCATTATGTCTTTACAATGCACTTGACTTTATCTTATAAAAGATAAAGTCTGTTTTGCTACATACTCCACAAAAAAGAACGGAACACAATTGGATGAAAACATTAAATAAAGAAATGTCTAGGTAAGAAAAGCATTCTTTCCTGAGAACTTCTTATAAAAACAGACAAAGAGCTTGTATTCAAAAGAGCAGCCTATGGCTATCAATCTAATTTTAAGGGCAAGTGAATCTAAATGTCAAAATCCCAAAGGTTTGTGTACAGAAATATCTATTATAGACAAAGAGCATGTTACATTGCTGACACTGATATTGTTGAGTCTTTATTCCAACTGATGCTGAAGTTAAGGGAAACTAGCATTCTGCTAAGTCTGTTTATGCATGCTGTACCTTATCATGGTGAGGAGGAAATGGGAAGGTATCCCTCTCTTACCAATCCAAAATTCAAACAAAGGTTTCATAAACTAGGATTAGTAACGTGGCTTACATGAAGAATTAATGGAAGGAGAGCTGGTATCATTTTGCAATGATTGTTTACAAGAACCAATGTCATTGTAGGGATATAAAAACAAGATGGAGCCTCCTGGATCCCTGGGTCTAGTCTCCTGCTATTGTAGGCATCATAAATTGGTTAAGATCTATCTAACATTTTGCCTATCCTATTCCTAGTGGAAGGCAACTGACTGCAGCTGACAGATATTCCATCATTGGACTTGATCCTACAAGATAACAAGGGACTTCTGAAAGGTGCTGTGCACTCTCAGCTACTACACAGAATATATGAACACCCTCCAAAAACCATTCAGTTCCCTGCAAAATTAAGCCTATTCTTTTTAGGAATATAGGAACAACCACAATGGAGCAGAAGCATCTAGTCCAGCTGGATCCATCTGGACCCATCTAGTCCAACAAACTATTTCCAATTGTGACAGGTACCAAATGCTTCTAAAGGAGGTGTAAGAACCTTGTAGTAGGTAGAGGTGTGGTAATTTATCCTGCTGCATATATGCACTAGAATCTCTAAACGACAGAGATCAGCCTGAAGCCCTGAACATTTTCCTAAAATGTTTACTGCCAATAATTATAGTAAATCTAGATATTCTTTATCTTATTACAAATTTCCACATTTATAATGAACCAATTTATAGTCTATTTCTAGCCCTGTCCTTTTTTTGTTAATATTTAGAGATGGAGAGCTTCTTTTTTTATGATATACTCTAGTTTCTCTCTCTTTCTGTCTCTCACTTTCTCTCTATTCATATATACTACATTGAAAAAGAAAGATAAAAAAATTAAAATACAGTTACACTATTATTTACTTTTAAATGACTGCATTATTTATACAGAATTATATTAATTATCAAAATTAACTCACGTTAGAGCTTCAGAGTAATTATAATGAGGAGAGACTCCCAGAAACTTCTGTACTTCATCCATCACAGTAGCTGGGTCAGTTCTCAGCTGCTGTCCATCAATAATTAGCAACTGCAAAATAAAATAAAATGAATGTTACATTTAAAATTCATTATATTTCAAGCTTCAAACTAAAAGTTTCACCTATGTCAAGCTCATTCATTAAAAGGAAGAGAGGTGCCCCAGGGAATGGTAATAGGTCCAATCTTATTTATCATCATCATTAATGATCTGGGAGAGGGGTAAATGGCACACTAATTAAATCTGAAATGATATTAAATTGGAAGCTGAAGGACCTAAAGAAATTAGAAAT